GATGATCATTTTATGATAATTAACAGTCCGCCGCCGATGCTGGGTCAATTGTGATCAGTACTCTGACTTGACTCAGGCCATGATTACAGCGGATACGCTCTCTGACGAATAAGTCCGTGACAAACTTATCACTAGACTGCAGATTTTATGCATTTATAGCTTATAGGGCTCTGTGAAATATAATAAAAGATAGAACTTTCATTGGATCCAACGAGTTTTCTGTTTTATTCTGAATCCAATAAGATACTTAAGAGGAAAAATAAATTTCTATAATTGCTCCTGTCGTTATAAATTACTTTAGAAAATTTCATTTTGCATAAAAATCCGCAGTCTACTTATCACGTTTGACCGATGAATATTTCGAATTTATGTCTTGTTTACACCTAACGAGTACTCGGCCGAGTAATTCGGCGAAAAAATCGACTGGCAAGTGAATAGAAGCGTCTTCTATTGACTCGGTCGAGTATCGCCACCCTCCAGTACGACACGGATGCAACAGTCGAAAATTATGTAACAAGAGAAGCATGTTTTCTCATTGTATAGGGTTCATTAGGTGCATTTACAGTTTACGATTGAAACGATATTAAACGATATTTATAAAATTTTGTAGTTATAGCTCCGGAGTTCTTTTTTTTTTCGGATTTTTTGTTTATAATGTTTAAAGAAGTTTGTTTTAAATTGTTAAGAAAATCATATCTAATTGTATTACTGCGATGGTCTTATAATAGCAGAATGCTACATAAGTATTACAGAAACTTCACCTTTGTAAGGTGTATACTTAGTTCTGACTCTCACTGTACATTGTTGGCTTCTTGGAGAGAGAGAGCACGAATATGCTCGCAGAGCACAAAAGCAAAAGAAAACGAACAGTCGCTCAGCGATTAGCTGCAATGCGAACAGTTATAGTTCGAACATCGAGCATAGCATATCAACCATTGTCAGGTGTTGTAAATAGAAGCAGTGATATATTGTATTCAAATTTATATTATACAAGAAAAAATCATGTATTGTCAAGACGAACAACTATGCCTTCGAGGATATAGTAATAATTGAAAATAATTCTAATAATGAAGACATATCGGACGAAGATACAATATCATCCTGCAGTGACGTTGAACCTGAACTTCAGGATTGAGAAAACAATGTATTTTCTGCAGAGTTAGACAATTAGAATAATTTAGTTAGAAACAATTTAGAATGTATACCCTACAATAGCGGTTTGAAAAAATATGAGAATGTGAATACTATGAAAGTGTGCTTCCACCTTTTAATAATACGCTATCCAAACTGAAAAACAGAAAAAAAACCGGTGGAAACCCGTAGATCGCGTTGAATGTGATGCATTTTTTGTATTACTGTTGACGATTGGTCGGTTTCGGGAATCTCGAGAAAGTGAAATGATGCTTCGAATAAGGGCACAATTGACGAGCAACTAGTCAATTTTTGGGGTCGTTGTCCGCTCAAGGATTATACGCCGAATGATCCTGGCAAATATGGAATCAAAGTGTGGACCCTGTGCGATGCACATTCTATTGTTGTAATTTAGATGTGTATTCAGGGAAGATAAGAAACATTCCAGAAAAAATCAAGGCCAATGCGTCGTTACACAGTCGACGGATTTTTGGAAGAAATCTAGATATTCAACAACTACAAACAATTTCTTCAGTACATAAGTTTAGCGGCAGAGTTATTACTAGACCGCGGATTTTATGCATTTATAGCCAATAGGGCATTGTGTAATACTATAGAGAAAGAACTTTCATCAGATTTAAAGTGTTTTTTACTTTATTCTGAACCCAATAAGATATTTAAAACAAAAAAAGAAATTTCTACCTTTGCTGTGATCTTAAAAAATTATTTTAGAAAATGTCATTTTGCAGAAAAATCCGCGGTCTAGTTATTATAAAATGAAATTTTCTTAGTTGGTATCCTACGGAAAAATAAAAAGGATTTGCTGAAATGTACGATCAAGGTAACAATTTTCGTCGCAATTTTTATTCACGAAAGATGTTACATTAGTTTCGTACGTACCTAAACCACGGAAGTGTGTAGTGCTTCTATCATGTTTAATCATGGCCACAGTATTTCTGGACCCGAAGGCATGTACAAACCAGAATGATATCTTTTTATTATTCAACCAAACGTGGCGTGTATATATTAGATAAGATACTTCGCGAATATTCTTGTCGAAAATATACGAGGCATTGGACGTTGTCACTATTTTTTAATTATCTGGACATTGCAGTATATAATGCGTTTGTAATATGGGCAACAAAAATCCTTCCTGGGAAAATCATAACGCACTTAGAAAGAAAAGGAAAATATTTTTCGAGAGTTCAGGAAAAGAATTATACATATAGTACCAATATCGACAGACGTGCTACAGCATTTGATAATCGGGAGATTATATTCCACAAAGATGTTAGGAATGCAATCGAAGCAAGCGGAAAAAAGTTTGTTAGAAGAAACCAAGCAGAAATTCTGTCTTCTTCGAAAAAATAATACACATGTTATTTATGTACGTATAACAATAATAAATATAGTACAAAGCGTCACCAGTGTTTACTATATATACGTAAATTATATGCATTCAATTAACCATTCAAATATTTTAAGCATAAATTGTGCAGAACAGTAGGCAATTTAACTGTATTTTTATCCACGTATTGTAAACATGTAAATAAATAATATAATTGCATTTGTACTGGGTATTTTTGATCAATATTTTTGTATTTTTGCAAATAAATCGTAAATATATACTTCCTAAATATGTGTAATTTAATGTAAAGATAATAATATCTTCTACAGTTTATTCAATAATGTCTGAGGAAGCGAATTCAGTGTGAGTCAAAAGTGACCCAGCACCGCCTCCCAGCTCGCCGTCTAACCGTCCACTGTCCGACTGTTAATAAACGCCTGTGTACACAACATGACCATCAGTGATGACAATGGCCAGCCCGCTACAATTAATAAAGGCATATTGACAGAATGACTCACGGTGAGTTGTCTTGTTCTAATTAATACGAAGGTAATAAATATAATTTACATATGGTCATCCTATTATAATTAATAAAAAAAAACTTCATAGTCAAATTAGCACACCTCTTTCCATTTTTCCATAATTAACATACGAAGTGGAGATGTTTAAAGTTAACTTGTCCGGTATACTTACCTTGAGCTTTCAATTTTTTTTCATGCCTCTTTTATGTAACTAAATGCCATTATATTCAAATATTAGAACAGTATCGGCATTATTGTAAATTGTTATAATACGCTTTATCTACTTATACGATTAAGAATTAACTTTAGTGCAAATTTTGAAGGAATTAATAAAATTTTCATGTTACTTCTAATCTAACATAACCTTTAACAGAAGAAACGGATTCTTTAATTTTAATTTTTGTAAATTTCACTACACTAGGAGAAAAGACCCAATTGACATTACCGCATAATTTTTGTATTAACTGACCAAAAACATAAGTTTTTATTTGTATGTATTATTATTCAATATGTTTAATAGAAGGAGAAATTTCTTGTATGTTTCTGAACTCTACTTTTGTTTATAAATTCATTAGTTTTAAAAATATATCTCGAAAGCTATTACTGACACCCGTAAAACGTGATCGATCGAATTACTGACATCCCAATTACTACCACCTCACCAAATACTGTCACCTCATATACCCAATACTGTCACGTTTTTAGGTTAGGTTGCACGTGACTGCAGACCGTATTGGTAACATTAAATAGCATAAGGCTTTGTTTTCGTAAGCAGTTATTCACATGACAATAATAAAGAAATTATTGAAACGCTTGTACCAATCATTGTCACCCAAATATTAAACTGAAAAGTTTAACGAATCGTTGAATTATGATCGACATTATTTTCTATGATCTTGATATTATCTAAAACTATATTTTATTATGTTACTAGCTCAAATATTACAATTATAGTCTTTTCTTTAGTATATTGGTTTCCCTTTTGCTAGTAAGGAAGTCGTCGTTTTTACTCTTCCAATCAACTAAAAATTTTTGATCATTTTACAAAAATTAATGGAAAAAGAAAGTTAAGTGCTGCTCTTTCTATGCAGAATTTTCTTTATGTATAACTTCACAACGTTTATTTGTTATTTTAAGTAAAGCAGTCTAAGATGACAATAATACGGTAGGTGGCCGTAAATGGGTCATTTACCCTAGACGAACTTGCTTAAATATCCTCAGATCACTGATTAATAACAATAAAAAAAAACATACTGGTAAATAGAATTAATTTTGTTGTAACTAGATTTCAGATACTTGTGCAACTATGACAATCCAATTACGTAAAACATGTAAAATACACTTATAGAATACGTATCTGATAGATTTATGACTGTCACATATGTATATTTTACATACATTTACATTCAAATATTTTCTACGTAATTGCATAAGATTCCGTAGTCTACTTATAACAAACACTGGCGATAACGTTTCAGGAAATTCGCTGAACCCATTGAACAATGCGAAATTAGTTACGGAGGGTTCAGCGGTATCGAAAAACGCGCAAGATTTTTCTATTTAAACGTAACTAAGATATCAGAACGTCATTGAAGTTCAAAAAAGGAGAAAACGATCAGGTTTGAATAAACGTAGCGATGTATACAGGGGCCGACAGGAAGTTCTAGTGTTGTGTAATGGTTATGGTCGAGAGCTGTCAAACGCACGCCGGCTATTATATAGGTTGGTTCAACCACACTCCAATCGGTCTTAGGGCATAGCGCACAAACGGTCATACTGCCGTGAGGCACGAGATTCGCAAGCCGCGTGAATGAAACCTACTGACTACTGACGTAAAACCCATCACCGACACAATGGAAAAAACCACCAGCACACCAGATATTTTGATATGGACCAAAATAGTATTACACATACCGATGTAGTTATCGAAAGGGAAAAAAAAACGATATCAAAGTTCTAAGAACCGTTACGTATAGGTCATCGATTACGATTCGACTTACCCAATAGTAATAACTTGAGTTCCCGCCTGGCATCACGCTTATCCTTTCGAAGTTGCCGCTCAATCTCTTGATTAATACGTTTCTGCTCCTTTGCCTCTTCCGACAGGCAGCACGCCATGGCTCAGGACAGCAGGATGCTCGGATAGAGGAGGAGTAGGAGTAAAAGGATGCGGAGGAGGAGGAAAAGGAGAAGGGAGAGGGAGGGAGGAAGGCAGAGAGGGAACGAGCGATTTACGGTGGTGGTGAGTGATTACCGAGCAACGAGGTACGTCGCGGACAGCACCGGTCTCGACGGCACGGTATCGTCGGTATTACCTTGTCACCGCGAACAAACTACAATGCCTTGTCGTCGTTCTCGTGGTTTCTCTTGTTTCTTCCCTCTCGTCCTGACGAAATCAATCAAACCTTTTCCGATCCGCACCACCACTATAGGCCACTAGCACGCATCACAACCACTTGTCCACGACGACGACGACGACGCCGACGACGACGACGACGACGGCGACGGCGACGGCGACGACGACGACGGCGACGACGACGACGACGACGGCGACGACGACGGCGACGACGACGGCGGCGGCGGCGGCGACGGCGACGACGGCGTAAACGTAAACGTAAACGTAGATCTGATCTCCGTATTCTCAACGACTTCGACACACGCGGCGGCGACGGAGCACTCCTGGCAGGGCTCGACGACGCCAGCGACACATCAACACATGTACGACGCACACGCACAAAACTCGGCCGGTAGCTTGTTTGTCCTCTTCTCTTCTTTCTTATTCTTGTTACGATGTATTATTCCCAATGTGTATCCTTCGTTTTGGTTTTTCAAGGTGTTGGTTCACGCACGCATGTATCGAATGTAACGCAACGAAACGCACTCACGAAAGAGCTCGAGAAAGCGGGAGAGACACGCGCGCGCACACACGTCTCCAGCTTTCTTTGCTCACGCCGCGCGATTTCGGCGATCGTCTATACCCGACGAGAGGGAAACTTCGCGAGAGCAAGGTCCGTTGGATCGAGATCTAAAGAGTCTTGAGTGTACTCCGTCGAATCTCGATCGTCGGTCCCTGGGTCCCCCGTTGTACCCGCGTACTACTCGCGAGAGAGCTCTCGTACGGCTCGTTCACTCGTTCACTCAGTCCCCGGCGCGGTTGGGTGTGGTAACCCACCGGCGCTCTATCTCTTCCCTTCTCTCTCTCGTCCGTTCTCGATTTCTTTCTCTCACTCCCCCCCTCCTTCTTTCACGGCTCTCTGTCAGTCTGTCTCTTTTTTTCCTTCGATTCGTTCCACCTCTTTCTTTTTCTCTCCTCCTCCTGCCCGTTCGGCCTGCCGTACTCTTTCTTGTATCGCGGGCGCACACACGAGACGAGATACGATTCACACTGAATATATATATATATATTATATATATGTATATATATATATATGTGTACCACACGCACCTGTACCCGACGTATGGCGAAACGACAGAGGCTGAGGACGGCTACGTAGAAAGAAGGAACAAACGAACCGGGATGAGAGGATAGAAGACGATGACGAGCTCGTCTGCTGTTATTGCCGCTGCTGCACGAGCGCCTGCACTTCGAACGGAGCAACTTCTCCTGCGATTCGCGCCGCGCCCGCTCGGTACGCAGCCTTTTATCAACCCTCGGTCGCTCGAGAATCCTGTTAGACCAAACCAGATTGGCGAAGCCCCGACACGGTAGGTCGTCGTATAGTGGCTTGTAGGCGCGGGGGCGCGCACGTGTCCGCTAACGAGATTAAAATCGGCGAGGAGGTGCGGCCGCCACCCGCCGGGGAGGAGGTACGGAGAACGTAACAGCGCCGCGACGAGAAAGATATAGGTTATATACGCGGAGCCTCTCTGTACGACCGACCGATGCTGACAGCTCGCAGCGACACGGCTATCGCTGCTGTTTACTACGCGAGATCACGAGCGCACTCCGTCTATAGTAGGGAGCACCGGCGAGGGTATCTTTATGGGAAGGGATATAAGTATCCCTACTGGTTAGGTGTGCCTTTAGACTGCGTATATTAATGCAAAATCACATTTTAGAGGTTGTTTATAAAGTAAAAAACAATAGTAGAAATTTCTTTCTTCCCTTAACCCTCATACACTCCTCAGAAATAGTAACATGAAAGACCCTCGTGTGATATTTCACCCATTTTTTCCTTTACATTCCAATTAATGTTATTATTAACATGTTATACTGTATTTCATAAAAAGTTAGTTAAATTTGTTAACTTATTCCTTACATTTTGCAATTATTACATATATAAATAGCAGTTTATCTCAAATTACAAGAACCACTTATACCCACAGTATAAGTCTGTGACAGAATTGCTCATAGAATCACTGAAGCTAAATTCTCGAAACGAAAATTTTATACCCAATGATATTTTTACATATCGAGTGATCATGAGAAAATTTTACAATATATATATAATTCTTACAAAATGGAAACATGTGTATAAAAAGCGCTATGTAATAACTTATTTTCACCAGAGTATTTAATGTATTTTATAAGTGAACAGTATTCGGGTGAAATATCACCCAAGGAACTTTTCCGTTACTTTCTTTTTTACAACATTCTTGTTATAAATAAAACGTTAACTATTTGTGTTTTACATACAACTCAACGTCAACACAGACAGTTTTATAATGTCCAGACTTGCACATCCTCGGCATCGTGGCCAAGTGGTTCCGTGTGGTGTATGAGAAAAAAATACAGATGTTGCTCCAAGAATATACGAAAAGAAACGCAACCTTCAAGACACTTTCCCATGCAGCTTTTCCTTCGCAAAAAGTATTGACCATGAAAGAGTGGGGATCGACCTATTACGCCACATCAATCCTAACGAGGGAGGATCAGTTCAACAATATCAGTTGTCCTTTCCGAACGGTGGCCTTTGCATTCTACGAGCAAATAGAGTTCATGTTCGGAAAACTAAGTTTTAGTTTATTTAGCGATTACGTAGCGATTATTTAGTAGTGTCATGTACGTCGTCGTTATAAATAGTGCAAATTAATTATTGTAGTTTTTATTAAACATTGTAGGTTTTATTAATTATTGTACGTTTGATTAATTATTGCAGGTTTCATTAAATATTGTAGGTTTTATTAATTATTGCGTGTTAAAAATTAGTATAGTTGTTATAATTTAATTAGTGTAGGTTAAAAATTAATGTTAAATAGTTATAAATTAATTATTTTGAGTGTTAGTTTTGTGTAACGTGTAGAGTGTTAAATTCAACGGAGGAACCGCTCGCGGGTCTAATTAATCGCGCAGTGTGTGAACATTTTTCGCGGTCGAGACAATTCCGCAGTGTGTGTGGACACTTTTCGCGAACTTCTGTGGTGTACGTGCATGTACGGATTAATTTCATGGATACTCGTGGACAGAACAATTGTTATACGTGATAACTAGAGGGGGCATTAACACTCTCTACTCGATAATATTCGTAAGAAAATATTTACATTTCTTGCGAATTTTATCGAGTAATCAGAGTTAATACGATACAAGTGGATGCGACTCAAATACCTCGGGCACTAGTTATCGACATCTTCTACGGGGTAAATGGACATCTGTTCTACTGACTTTTCCTGCACGTCGTTGAGTCTTTAAAGTGACTGTACGCCCCTTACGAGCCGTGATCCGCTAACACTCCGTGCGCGCGGATTGCCATCATTTGGGTCAATTTTCAAACGCTTATAACTAACAAACGAAGCATTTGTTGCAATTTCGTTATTCTTGATTTTCGTCTTATTTTGTCTCAAAGAACAACCCCTTAAATTTTTTCCCACTAGTAGTCGAACACCCTGTATAGAGCAATGTTAAAGCATTTATTTTTGAGCAGATATTTCTGTACCATACAACAACCCATCCGTGATTTCTCAGAACATCCGAAATTTAAGTCTTACGAACATCCTAATGATGTCCAAAATGGACGTAGGACATCCGGATATAAACTGGATATGAAACGGACGTCCGTTGGATGTGCGATGCTACCTGGGTATTATCGTATCTACCTGGGTAATATCTACCTTAATTATTATCGTGCGTAGTGCAATACAAAGGACACCGGGATTTCCGAGTCTACCGACAAACCCGATGACTAAAATTCTTTAAAAAGACCAAAAAAGAAATAACATAAAAGCGTAGTTTAAATGTAAGGATGTTAATTTTGCATTTTGTCATGATAAAAAAGCATATGCAAAATTTTTTTGTACACATTTTAAAACAAAAATATTTTTAACTATTTCTAAAGTACTTTTAAATAAATACTGATCATTGTCATTTAGCTCGAAATTAAAAAATATATAATTAATGTAATAAAAAAAAAGTGAGTACAAGCGGGGCGAGAACCCGCAGTCGTATTACTGTCACTTAGCTTCTGCGGCGCACATCGTATGCCCTAAGTTGAATATTTTCAGAATATCTCTGAAACTAAGTATGCTTGTACAAATAATACCAGGTAATCAATGTCTACATACATATTTATTTATTATGTACATCATATATTACGTATATTGTATAGTTTATACATATGTTTGTTTAAAAGGTATAAACAACTTCTGTGTGGGGTACCAAGACTAGGAAAATATAATTCGATACAAGTAGGTGTGGATACTTTTGTTTCGATACCAAGTAAGTATCGATACCTACATAGAATACTAGCAATGGCTGCATTCAGAAAACACAACCGTTGAGTCAACTGCTGCGAACTGATCAGTGATCAGTTTTCATGTTTTGCTGAACGGCGTGATGGTAGTGCTGACTGTTATTGTTTACAAAATATTATATTGAAATAGAAAAAATTATGGCTGCAGCCAATGTAGCTCTACTAATTGGTTTTCAGTATGAATTAGGTTTCAATGTAATAAAAATGTTAGTTGATAACTTAAAACAACCAATAGATTATGATATACAAGTAATAACTGAATAATTTATTTAAGGAACATTTTCGAATGTCGCGCATAAGTTTTGAAGTAACTATAAGTATTTTAATTCAATGATAGTTTTAAAATGGAAAAAATAAAATAAAATACATAATATACATAATTGGATATTACATTATAAAATAAAACATATATTTATTAAATTATAGATATTAATAAATAAAATTGGATTTTCTGGGTTCCGCAATTTTGAATCACAACACGTTCACCAAAGGTAGCGTACTTTATTTGCGCTAAAAAACATGGCGACCTATCACTAAACATGTTGAGTAGTTGGAAAGTGAGCGGTAGCGTTTAGAGTCAAATCTAGTGAAATCACTCAACGGTTACGCAACGGTTGTGTCTTCTGAACGCACCCAATGAGTAAAAGTATCGATACCTTGGTGGTATCGATTCAACACTACTCAGGGTTTTCAAAACCGTAAGCTGGAGATCGCTCCGCCTACATCCCACCAGGTGGCGTTTATGCTAAACGTTGCTAATGCCGGTAATGCTTATCACAGACGGGATATAAGGATAGACCTACAGTAGGAGCTCGTTT